ATTTTTTCAAAATATAGTCCTGCCCACCACATGGTCTGAGGGACAGTGGACCAGCCCATGGCTGAAAAAGGTTGCTGACCCCTGCTCCATATCCTCTTCCTTCCCCTATACTATTGGGAAACACACAGCAATGTTTGGACATATCACTAAACCATGGTTTACCACTACAAGTCAGTGAGCCTTGCATGTACACACACCCCTCACCTTCCTGCAAGGACATCAGAAGCTTCCATATTAGATGGAACTGCAGTCCTCTGAACCCCAAACTGTAGTTAATCTGAACCATGATTAGTTGAAACAATTCAGATGCATAAAGTATGGTTTGAAGTTCACTTGCTTCCATAAACCATATACCCAATCTGGGATGATAAAACAAATTGATGTTACTCCCCACTCAGCCATGAAGCTCACTGGGTGACTTTGGGCCACCATGCCTAACCTACTTCACAGGGTCGTTGTGAGGATGAAATGGGGAGGATCAGAACCATGCACCTTGAGCTCCTTGGAAGAAAAGGGTGGTATATATAAATGTACAGTGGTACCTCAGGTTACATACGCTTCAGGTTACAGACTCCGCTAACCCAGAAATAGTACCTGAGGTTAAGAACTTTGCTTCAGGATGAGAACAGGAATCGTGCTCCAGCGGCGCAGCGGCAGGCCCCATTAGCTAATGTGGTGCTTCAGGTTAAGAACAGTTTCAGGTTAAGAACTGATCTCCAGAACGAATTAAGTACTTAACCCGAGGTACCACTGTAATAAATAACACAAATAACTCCCAAACAGAAGCAGCTGCTTCCAATCTCCTCTTCATAGCCATACTGAAAGAGGAGCATGCAAACCAGAGATTAGCGTTGAGGCCAAAAAAAAGACCCAAGAGTGGTGCCTTTTACTTTCAATATCAGGAATTAGATAAAAAATAGTATATTCGTTTGTAAACTGTTTGGGGACCACTGCCATTCAGATCATAACAACATGCCATTACCTGTATCAGAGATGCAAATAACCACTTGATCACTAGCTAGGACAAGTAGCAATCCACACCACCATTTTAGACATAGGCATAGAAGTGACTTCTACTGCTCATGACTTAACCCTGCAACTTGCCAAGTGGCATGCTGGACATATGCTGGTTTGGTTTTTTTCAATGGCTGCAGCCAACATGGGGGCTGATATACATGATACGGTCAAAGGTAGTGCAACAAAGGAGCAGAAGGCATCTGTAAGCTTCCAGAGATAGATTTCTGGAGAAAAGAAATTGCCAAAGGGGACATGAATCTATGTAATCTTGAGACAAGAGTATCCTCTTAAGTGAAAGCCAATTTGATTATATATGACTCCAATAGGCAGGCAGGCAGGCACATTCATTCTTTCAATCTATGTTGGTTCACACCTGCCGATATATCAGATTTTTTGGGTGGGTGACTGTGGGACAAAGTAGGCATTCTGCTATAGGTGAACAGACATCCTGCTTACAAGGAACCCATCTCTTCTCAGGATTTGCCTCATTTTCCAGTTGTTTGGCATTTATTACTGGAACGCAAGCAAACCAAAAATATTGACACCCATTGCCTGCATGTGTTCTTTAGTGCAGAAGCAAGAAATCCACAGGCCTGAGAAACCCAGAGTCCCAGAAGGCCACACACAGGATCACTGAATAACAGCCTGTTAGATTAGGCCAATGGCCCACCTAGTCTAGCATCCTGTTCTCACAGTGGCCAACCAGATGCCTGTGGGAAACACATAGCAAGGATCTGAGCACTTTCCCATCCTGTGGTTTCCAGCAACTGGTGTTTAGAAGCATTACTGCTTGCAATTGTGGAGGCAGGGCATAGCAGTAGCTTTTGATAGCCATCTCCATTAATATATCTAAATCCTCTTTTAAAGCCATCTAGGTTGGTAGCCTTCAAGGCCTCCTATGGGAGCGGATGCCATAGTTTAATTATGCACTCCCTGCATGAAGAAATTCTTTCTTTTATCTGTCCTGACTCTTCCATCATTCAGCTTCACTGGATGGCTATGAGTTTTGGTGTTATGAGAGAGGGAGAAAAAAAGTTCTCTCCATGCCACGCTTGTCCATGTACATGTCTATCATATCAAACCTTACCTTTTCTCTAAACTAAAAAGTCGCAGATGCTGCAACCTTCCCTCCATCCCCTTAATCACTTTAGTTGCCTCTTTTTGAACCTTTTCCCAATCTACAATATCCTTTTTGAGGTGAGGCAACCAGAACTATACAGTATTCCAAATACGGTCTTACTCGAGATTTGAACGACAGCATTTTGATACTGGCAGTTTTGTTTTCAATTCCTTCGCTAATGATCCCTAGCAAGGAATTTTCCTTTTTCATCACCACTGCAGCACACTGGGTCAACATCTTCATTGAAATATCTACTAAGACCCCAAGGTCTTGTTCCTAGTCCATCAACCCCAGTTCAGACCCCAAGAGTATGTATGTAAAACTAAGATTTTCAGCAGCACCATGTGTAAATTTACACTTGCACATTCAGTTGCATTTGCCATTTTACCACCCATTCACTCAGTTTGGAGAGGTCCCTTTGGCACTCTTTGCAATCTCTATTTGTTTTAAGGACTCTGAAAAAATTAGTATCATCAGCAAACTTAGCCACCTCACTGCTCACCATGGGCGTAGCCACAGGGGGGCAGGGAGGAGCAGACGCCCACATAATAAATATAAATCAATAAAAATACATAGCTAACTGAGGTTCTGGCACCCCTAACAAAAGGCCTGCCCAAAAAAAATCCTGGCTACGCCCACTTGCTGTTCACTCTAAACTCTAGATCTTTTATGACTCTCTGGTCGGGGACAGAGGGTGGCGCTTGGGGGGGAATTGTCATCGCGCCACTCCTTGGTATGTGGAGTACCTCAGGGTGCGATACTCTCCCCGATGCTTTTCAACATCTTTATGCGCCCCCTCGCCCAGCTTGTTCGGAGTTTTGGGCTGGGTTGCCATCAGTATGCTGATGACACCCAACTCTATCTGTTGATGGATGGCCATCCTGACTCGGCCCCAGAGACACTGACCAGATGTTTGGAAGCTGTGGCTGGATGGTTACGTGGGAGCCGGTTGAAACTAAATCCTTCGAAGACAGAGGTCCTGTGGCTGGGACGGGGCGATATGGGATTGGGGGGGCAACTCCCATCTCTTGCGGGGGTGCAATTAGTGCCAGCACCGTCCGTTAAGAGTTTGGGTGTAATCTTCGACACCTCCCTTTCCATGGAGGCGCAGATTGCAGCTATAACAAAGGCGGCATTTTTCCATCTCCGCCAAGCTAAGCAGTTGGCTCCTTACCTCTCTCGCCCTGACCAACCACTGTGATCCACGCGACGGTCACCTCCAGACTGGATTATTGTAACTCGCTCTACGTAGGGCTGCCCTTGAGACTGACCCAGAAACTCCAGCGGGTGCAGAATGCTGCAGCGAGACTCCTTACAAGGTCTTCACTGCGAGATCACATTCACCCTGTGCTATACCAGCTGCACTGGATCCCGGTGGAGTACAGGATCAGGTTTAAGGTGCTGGTTTTAACCTTTAAAGCCCTATACGGCTTAGGACCCTCGTACCTACGGGACCGCCTCTCCTGGTATGCCCCACAGAGAAACTTACGGTCTTCAAATAAAAACATCTTGAAGGTCCCAGGCCACAGAGAAGTTAGGCTGGCCTCAACGAGAGCCAGGGCCTTTTCGGCTGTGGCTCCGATCTGGTGGAACACTCTGTCACAAGAGACCAGGGCCCTGCGGGACTTGACATCTTTCCGCAGGGCCTGCAAGACAGAGCTGTTCCACCAGGCTTTTGGCAAGGGCACAGCCTGACTCCCTCCTTCGGCAATCTTCGCGGAGCTCTGGCCCAATGGCTGCCAGTGGCTTGAATTAATTAATTTTAGAATGAATGATTTTAGAGTGTTGTTTATGTTGTACTTTTGTACTGTTTTATTGTTGTTAGCCGCCCTGAGCCCGGCTAAGGCTGGGGAGGGCGGGATATAAATAAAATTATTATTATTATTATTATTATTATTATTATTATGAGTAAGTTAAAAACCACAGGTCCCAATATCGATCCTTGGGAGACTCCACTTTCTACTTCACTGCATTCAGAGAACTGCTCATTTATTCCTACTCTTTGCTTCCAGCAGCGTAACCTATTTATGATCCATGAGAGGACCTTTCCTCCTATTCACTGACTGCTAGGCTTACTCAGCAGTCTTCGGTGAGGTACTTTGTCAAAAGCTGAATTCCTCCCCCTTTATCTCCCCCTTGCCTTTTTTTGTTCTTCCATGTTGCTCCTGCTATAGCTTTTATTTTATTTTCTTTCTTTCTTTTACTAGAAAGCAAAGAGCGTGCAAGAAAGCTGGGGTACAGGGAGACTGAGGAACAGGGGGGCAGTACACTTGGCAAAGGGGGTCGATGTCAAGAGTATGGAGAAACCACCTGATTTCCTCCCAAAAGGTGGACGTTATCAAGTATTTATTGGCAGGATCTTTAAGGCGAAACACATTCTATGTACTTTTTACTGCAGCCCACCAGAAGGTGAATGGCAGCTAGCAAATATCTCCAGAGCCTGTGTGAGTCGCGAAGCCCTTGCGCCAAGAATAACGGGCACTCAGAGGGCATCGCTTCGATCCCTCGCTTCGATCCCTCTGAGCTGTGCCTCTTCAAGACCCTAATGGACATGCGTTGGGCACGGCGCTCCGGCAGCGAGGAGCACAGCCACTCCGGGCACCAGCGGAGGGAGGGTCATCCAGCTACCCCGCCTCTCCTCGGAAGACGCCGGCTTTCCTATTCTTCCTGCTGAGGTGTTAAGATTTTCGCATCGCCTCTCGTTCCCCTTTTCCCTCAAGAGGCCCCCGCTACCACGTCCTGCTTCCTCAATCCCCGGCACACACCCTCGCGGGCTCCGGGCTGATGCAACTCCGGTGTCCCCGCAAGGCAAGGCGCCCCGAGATCTGCCCGCCACTACTTGCTCGCTTGCTCACTCACTCACCGCCTCGCTGCGCGCTGTGCTTTGCAGGCAGCCCGTTGTTATAAGGCACCCAGATCTTCTGCAGGGGGTTCTGCGTGAGCTCTCGAGCCGGCGGAGACGCCATTCTCGCATTGGGGGCTCGCTCCCTCCTGCGGTCCCGCCTGCTGCGACAAGCTCCAAGGAAGATCCGGGAAGGTGCGCCGCCGCCGCCGACAGCCAGCCAGCCGGCGATCCTCGGCTATAGAGGGGGGGGGGGTGCTGGCAAGGCCACCGGAGGGCGGGGCCTGCACGACGCTCCGCCCCCTCAGGCCAGCGCGGGGAACAAGTTGCGGAGCAGCAAGACTCGCCCCCAACTCCGGAGCGAAGCAATGCGCGCGAGGCGCCGAGGCTGGGCTCCGCCCCCTGCGCGCTTTGCGGAGACAAAGGGATGCCTTGGCTGGGGTAACACAAGGCAAAGCAGCACTGGGGCCCATGGTGCTTACTCGCAGGTAGGCGCATATGGGTAAAAGCAAGCATCAACCCGCTTTAAATGCCACTTAACGTCTGCAGTAATGTGTTCAGGCTAATCCGCAACTGTCCTTGGGGATGGGGGAGGGAATACAGTCATTCACAGGTTTGTTACGCCTTAGCATTTTGGGAGCTGTAGTTTTAGGAGAGGGCTCAGTGTGGAAGATCGTTAAGAGTCCTTAACGACTTTTTTAAAAAAATCCAACATCACTAACCGTGCAATCCTGTGCATGTCAACTCAGAAGTGATCCCCGTTGAGTTAAAATTGGACGGTAAGTGTATATCGGGTTGCAGCCTAAACCACTTTAAATCTCCAGAGGGGTAGTCAAATTGGACTGCAGTCCTAATCACTGACTGGCAGCGTTGGGGTTTATACAACTCCATCGCTCAGGTTGTAAGGGGGGGGCAGGAAAAAAATGTCCCTTTGCTGCAGCGGTCATGGGATGGCAGCCAGGCCCTGCAAATGCCCAATTTCTGGGATTGCCACCAGAAATTTCCAACCACCTGATTTAAAAATTGAGGGGAAATAATATATTGCCATTAGCTGTGCTCAGTGTGCTTTGGGTGGGAGTTAAAAGTGAAGACAGAAGCCCCTGCTCTAACATGAATCATACTGTATGCTCAAGCATTTTATTTAAGTAGGTAATGAACATTTCAAAGTGCAACCAGTCTGCCTGCAACTCAAGAGAACATTAAGAACATTAATACATGCAACAGAGCCATGGATTTGTTCTGGCATGAGGTCTAAGGCGACTGACTGTTGCAATCTGATAATTAGAAGAGTTGTTTTTTTTAAACTAGGAATCCAAACAAGCTTCACCTCTGACCAGCAGTATTAACAATGAACTGCATTGCTGCCAGCCACTCTCTCACACAGAACAGTCCCCTAAATTCTTACCAAGGAGCTCAACCTCACCACTCTTTTAATTATATCTCAGCACTTTTGACTCAAAAAAAATTCAGCACTGTCTGGGAAGGTGAACTAAGCTGATGCTTAGGGAGCCATAACAAGATCAGTCATTAGCTTCTACAGCAGAAGTGACTGAGAACTCCAGAAAAGGAAAACACCTTCCTTTCTTGCCTAAAGGTAAGGGTAAAGGAACCCCTGACCGTTAGGTCCAGTCGCGGACGACTCTGGGGTTGCGGCACTCATCTCACTTTACTGGTCGAGGGAGCCGGCGTACAGCTTCCGGGTCATGTGGCCAGCATGACTAAGCCGCTTTACCTTCCCGCTGGAGCGATACCTATTTATCTACTTGCATTGGCGTGCTTTCAACTGCTAGGTTGGCAGGAGCAAGGACCGAGCAACAGGAGCTCACCCCGTCGCGGGTATTCGAACCGCCAACCTTCTGATCGGCAAGCCCTAGGCTCTGTGGTTTAACCCACAGCGCCACACGCGTGGCACCTTTTAATTGGTTTCTGAGCCCTGGCCTAGAGGAAGCTCCATGCCTGAGGCACTGCAAGTACCAGGAAACAGGTAATGCCCATTATCATCCATCAAGGTTAATGTTCTCCCTTCAAACAGGACCCTTTATTACACCCCACACAGTTCTGCACTTGTCATCCATGGTAGGCCTCTACTGTTTTAAATGCTCTCGTCCTTGTTTATCCATTATTTATCCTTATTTATTGGTTTTGTTTTAGATGCTTTTATACTGTAGTTTTATTAGCTTTAGGCTGAATTTTTTGTTTTAATGATAATGGATGTTTTTAATATTGTACACTGCTTAGAGATTTTTAAATATTAAGCAAATTACAGGTGCTTTAAATTAAATAAATATCTAGGGAAATTGCTCCCTCTCATAACCAAATTCTAAAAGGATCAAAAACTAAAAGCAGTGTTCAGGCCATGCTCATTCAGTCAAGTTAGTTAGCTCTGCTCACCCTTCCTACCTTGTTCCCTGGTTCTTTATTATTTTGTACTCCTCATCAGGGTTCCAAGGGAAACTGCAACCTTGAATTATTCTTCTATGCCTTCACCCAAAAAGGCTTGCCCCCCTGTTACTCTACTGCAGACTGGTCAAGGATCTACAGGACAGCATCCTCCCTCAAGTGCTGATAAGTCAGGGGTAGCCAATGCGGTGCTCTCCAAATGTTATTGGACTCCATCTCCCATCAGCTCCAGTCTACATGTCCGATGGTCAAGGCTGATGGGAGATGGAGTCAAACTATATCTGGACGACAACATATTGACTACCCTGGGAATTGATAACAACCATGTTCCGGGTTCTTTTCCCTCTTTAATTTTCTGATTTTTCCGTCCTTTCTGCTCTCCAAGCAAACCAGTAACCTATGCTACTTTAGGCACCTGAATTTAATCTCTAACCCCAGTTTGATCCTGCACATACAGCTGGTGCCTATTGCCCTCCATCTTTCTCCAGTCTTCTCATAGCCCATTGCCCCTTCTCACTCTGTACGTCTGTTATTATTGTAATTATTTTACCATTAGGCTGTCTGTTGGTATACTTTTTACTATGTTTTTTCCATTGATGTTTTGTAATATGTTTCTAGTGTTGAACGCTGCCCTAAGGTATTTTGGTAAAGGGCTGTAGATAAATTGAATAAATTATTATTATTATTATTTTATTATTATTATTAATAATAATAATTAATAATAATGTCCTGATCCCCTCTGTCCTTCGTACCACTTACCCACATAGTTGGTGCTAGACCAATCTGAATATCTGGGGTTGCCAACATGGTCCTTGTGTGTACAATGACACTTTTGAGGTGCCCATGAAGCCTCAAAGCTCACCTTCCTTGAAATACTGAGGAGGGGTACCTATTTTCCACACTGAGAAGTATGTGGAGCTAAAGGAGTTAAGCTGGAAGAGTGACCCTTTTTCCCATCTCCTCTACATATTTTTCAAGGCTCAGATCAATAGCTGAACAGAAAGTGGAGCAACTGAGAGGGTAGGAGGGAAAGGGGGGAAGACAGGATAAAAGGGAGTGAACTGCAATATTTGAGGGGAGGGAGGGAAATAGAGTGTCCAGGGCAGGAATCAGGAGAAATACAGAGTGCCATAGAGCAAATGTACATGAGCTCAAACACATTGGACTCAATAAAACGGCTCCTCTTGGAATGGCATATCATTCTTGCTCCTACCAAACACTACCAAATCATAGATCACATCTGTCTCCATTGACATGAGTCATAGACACCATAGGTCAGCTGCTTTCCAAAACACGAATTCAAGGGCTTATCATTTTTAAAAGGGACTCCTTCAAAGCCACTATCAAATCATAGGTCACCTCTGTGTCCACAGAAGTGTCAGTGATTTGTTGTTGCCTTTGTTGTCCTCCTGTGTAAAATCCATGAGGATCCACGCTTTGGCTTGGGTCAAAGTTTCTGTGGTGCTGGCAAGTACCAAATCTTTTACTCAGCAGTCTACTTACTGTTAAGCTTTAATTTTGATGGTGCGGGAGAGGGGGGATACTGTCTAAAATAATGCACATTTAATTCTATTGGATCCAACTCTTACCCAGATGCCATGGAAAAGCACAGTGGGGGGGGACCACCAGAGGGATAGTGTCAGAGGCACTCTCAAAATTCTAGATGTGCGCACAAGACCAAAAAGGTTAGCAACCCTGCAATTAATTGACCTTTCTGTTTCTGTAATAATAAAGTATATTTGATTATTCTGTCTCATGGCTTATTCTGCCTCTTTGGTGCCCAACTTTTAGATAAAAGATCAAATAATTATCATTTAGGTGCACCTGTACTAACATGGCATCCAACCATCCCTAATTTTATTTGTATGCTTCCTTTCCACAGTGCAAACCATGCTCAAAGCAGCTTACAACGTTAAAAAAAATACAGAACTACAACATAATGAAAGTAGTCATAAACAGTAAGTTAAACATTTAAAAATACAAAACCAAACTGAACAATTTCCACATAAATCGCAACAAAATCTGAAATAAAGATACAGAACAGCAACAGCAACAACTTCACCTCAATAAACAAGGACATGCAGTAAAAACATGCTCGAAGGTTTTAATCTCTGAACAGTACTGCAGATCCTGCACTATTTGGCCAGCCAATCAGATCTGCAGTATTGGCTGAAGAATCCATGCCCATTTACTGGAAACCAGCCAGAAGATCAGTTGGTAGCTCTCGATTCCTGTCTACGCAAGGCTTATGAGTTCCTGGAAACAAGCGGGAGGGGAAAAAGGTATTTTACATAATTGTGCAATTATCAAGTAGGAGTTATACTTTCCCACTAGAAAACTTTTATGTTTCTTTTTATCCAGCTTCTTAAAAGCTAGATGTGGTACTTAAAAAGGCATGAAAAACCTGTTCTTAGTTTCGCTGAAGATCCATTTGCAGAATGTTCATAAGATAAACAGCTGAGAGCTAAGTTTTATATTAGTCTTTCCCACACAAAGAGGGAAAACAGAAATTTTAAACTACATGTTCTGTTCTGGTCCTGAATCATGGAGCAAGACAGTAGTTACTACGGTGTGTTCTCTGCTCATTCAGTCCCTCTGATGCAAATCAGGAATTAAGCACCTGCTTTCTTGGGGTGCAGGTGGGGAATTGCCACTTAGCCCAGCTTATTTTCACACGTGTTGAAAATCGTGGTATAGAAGTATAAAAACAACTAAGTCCCATGACACTTAAAGCAGCCTTCCCCAATCTGGTGCCCTGAAGGTGTTTGGAACTACAACTCCCATCAACCTTCACCCAGCATAGCCAGGTTAGTTTGGACTGATAGGAGACACACACCAAACATGTGGAAAGCGCCCAGTTGGGGGAGACTGGGATTTAGGGGCTGTCCTTGATATCACACTGAGCCTTGGAAGCCTCTCATAAAGCAATGGGAACTTCTTGTTTTTTAATTATTTCCCAGGTGGTAGAAGTTTCAGTACTACTTAACTTCAAAGCAAGTGCATGTTGCTGCAGTCTTTGTGACCAAATATGAAAGCTGATTGGGTAGACATTTCCTTTTCTAGTGCCATTTCCTTTTCTATCATCTGGAAGATGGCCTTGACCATAACCTAACAATAAGAGGGTCAGGAAGCTATCTATAATTACTGCAGTAAGGATTTACTAATTGTTCTACTGCTGCCTAGCTAAACTGCTTACCTTCAAAGGTGCTTTACTACTGTATCTTAAGACTGCAAGACAATACTTGTGCAAATAAATGCTTTAAATATTTTAATGTAAAAATTAGGTTAAAATCTTGTCTACTGATAACAGCCAATCTGTACACAAAACATACTCTTCTCCCAAGTAATATGCCTGCGATAATGTGAGGTTGTAATGACATTCTTTAAGGATTATTTTGCTCTTTGGGTTTTTTTAACATTTAGGGCTATTTAAAGGGTTTATGATCCTAGTGATATTATGAGATTCTAAGGCTTGACTCAGATGTAATGATATTGGTTGAGTCTAAGCATTGTGATCTTGTGCTCCCCCTACCTCTCACATACCATACTGCAAGGCCAGGTCTAAACATTACATGCACTTGCTGAAGTTTGGGAGCTCTCACATGAGATCTTTATTGCGGTAGTTTGCAATGCTGGCATGTTGCTTGACCTGCTTTTCATTCTCAGAATTCCATGGTAGTGCAACATGCTGTGTGGCAAATACAAGATTTACATTCAATTACTTGAGATGAGAAAGTGATTTGCTTGCCGGGACAGTTTCTGTAGTGGCTAGAGTGATGGATCTTGCAAATCTCTTTATAATATTGTGGTTTATTAAAATTATTGGTCAGAATGTCTGTCAAAGTCCTGGCACAAAGGAAATAGTCATTACTGTGCCTGAACATAGCAGCTATATTAGATCAGGAGACTCAGGTAGGCAAAACTGCATTTCAGTACTACTTGCACCCAATGATATATGTTTGAACAATGCAGTGCAAGGGCAAATTGTGAATAACACAAAAAAACCAGTAACACATGGTGAGGAACCACAATCATATATCTATCCACAAAGCTAACAAACATTCTCTTTATATACATATAAAAAATCACTTCAACAAAAATATTATATACATTATTACACTATTCAAACTTTTTATTAGAAAATCAACCAATCAATCTTAGTATTAAGTATCACTCCCTTGCTCTCTTTATGTGTGTGTTTATATGAACACAAGATGTGGCCTGCAGGATCAGGCCAAAAGCCCATCAAGTCCTGCATTCTGTTTTCACAGCCAGCTGACCATGGGAAGCCCACAAGCAAGACCTGAGCACAACATCACTCTTCCCCTCTGTGGTTCCCAAAATGATATACAGAGACTTACTGCCTCTGGCAGTGGAGAGAGACATTTTATTATTACTATTATTATTGTTGTTGTTGTTGTTGTTGTTGTTGTTGTTATTTATACCCCACCCATCTGGCTGGGTTTCCCCAGCATGGTCAGTTAATCAGTAATAAGCAGAGTTCTGACAGCAATTATATTCATCAGTATCTGCATTATATCTGTTTATATTCAGTCAACAGGAGTAATTTACTTCTAAAATTTACTTTAGTCTTCCATCACAGTTGAACCAGCCAATCAATTAAATTGATCCTGTAAAGCAAATATGTATGTGTATGTGTGCATTACTTGATTTCATATAATTAAAAATTAAAGACATGAAATATCACACATTTTTTATAAAGTCAAATATCACCAGTAGATGGCACTTCATAGTCACATAGCCAAGCACTATGTATATGAAGATTTAAGGAGACAACAGGCCAGTTGTAATCAAACTAAAAAGGTAACCAACCTAGCAGTTTGAAAGCATACCAATAGTCCCCATAGTCACCTTTGACTGGACTTAACCATCCAGGGGTCCTTTACCTTTTTACCTTCACCTGTTGTGAAACTCTATGCAGAAAGTTTTGGGGCAACAACTTTATTGCTATAGAGCAGAACTGGAGCTCATTTCCAGATCACCTAGCAGGAAACAAAGATTTAGAGATTCTCTCTACGACATTTTCTGCAAGATTTTGTGCTCTGGCTCTCATTCATTTATCCAAAGCAATAAGAATAGAAAATGAACAAAGGTGAGATAATATGTGGAAGAGAGAACGATGTTAGAACCCATAACTCTCATGTGTTTTATCTGTTTGGCCTTCATATTATAATCCTGGGTTAAATATTTCAGGTGGTGTAATGGGTCAGTGCATCTGGCTGTTAACCAGAAGGTGGGTGGTTCAAGCCCACCCAGAGACAGATGTGGACAGGATTTCTGCATTGTGGAAGTTGGACTAGATGACCCTCAGGGTCCCTTCCAACTCTGCAATTCTATTATTCTGCCATTTAAAAAATTTCGTTTGATGGTACTTTGCGCACTGTAAATGAGGAAGAAATTAAGCTTGGAATAACAAATCCCAACCATCCGGAAATGCTTTCCGCGTACACTAGCAGCTACGTGGGGGGACAGACAGAGCAGGAAAGTCTCATAGTATAAATGACCTCCCATTCACACAATTGTGGATCCAACCACCTATTTTTAGCTCCCTGTTCAAAGCCTTAAAATTAATGTCCTTCATACTCCCAGTATGAGACACTTAAAACATGACCAATCTAGCCAACCTACGTTTGTAGATTCTCTTTCTCTCTCAAACAATCTGGCTCATGTAATGGATATTTCAATACCGAAGTTCAATATTGAGAAAGACAATCTCAATAGCTTTCTATCAAGAAATGCTGAAGAAAACGGTTAAGTTTCTCTATCCTAAACACCACTGCACTGGTACAATCCTTTGTCTCAATTTGGCTCCACCAGAGCAAGATAATAGCTAGTGTCATTTAATTAGATAGGCTTAATAGTCCTTAATCAGAAATATAATTTCCACATGTGATAAGCGATGCAACTGTTTCCACATCTGTGTGCCACATGCCTCTTCTAATACACATGATTCTGTAACAAAACTGCAGCTGGCTATCCAAATAAAGATTTTGTTTTATATTGCATATTACATCAACCAAAATTTCACAAAACAGCGTGCAAGCTTTTGAGTTCTCCAGAGCTTGTCATTAGGCTACATGAAAAACAGATCCAGCAGCCTTTAACATTACACAGAAAGGCACTTCTTTCTATTTCTTTATTGCCTGTCCTACCAAGCAGCAATCCAGGATGGTAAACAGTATAATTTAAACATCATTAAATTTAAACATCATTACAAATATTCCACAATAGCAATAAATAGTAAATAAAAACACAAGCATGCTCAAAATTACAGTATCATTCTTACAACTGTTGGGCCCCTTAATTCCCAGAAGTAAATAAAGTCTTTAACAGCTGCCTTCAAGGCCAATTGAGGGGCACAATTGTAGCTCTCACACAGCCAGTGCATTGCTTTAAGGGTAGCTGAACTATGATCCCATGTGTGCTCATTCTTCAGCCTCTCCTCCCTCTTGCAAACTCTTTAAAATCAGTGACCCTGTATCATCCTCCCACAACACTGGGTAAGTCCACTGTCTAAAACAGGGGTGGATACAGCGGTGAGGCCGGGGAGGCAGCTGCCCCCTATAATCAATACAAATCTGATGTTCTCCCCCCCAACAAAAATCCTGGCGATATCCTTGGGTGGATAACTCATGGATCACAGGATGCATCTGGCCCACCAAGATCTGCTAAAAGTTATATGCCTGCTGCTTAAGAGATAACCCAAAAAGAACCAAATGATTTTTCTCTCTCTATTCTTTGTTCCAAGAACCACAGTGCTGAGACAGGGGTCAAAGCCTGACTGCTCTTCAAGAGTAAAAAAGAAGAAGAAGAAAGCAGCATTTCCCTCCACCCCAGTGCTGGAATGGGGGTGGGCAGGAAAACTGCCTTTCTGTGTAATGTTAAAGATTGTGTTTCCAATCAGCTGCACCCCAGTGGGGAGGGCTGGAAGTGCTGATTGTGTGTGTGTATGTACATGCACATACATATGATGGCTACATCCGCCACAGACATGCAACCCTCAGAGGCATGGCTAATAATCAAGGCAGCTTTCAGGCCAAAAAATGTTAGGCACCCTTGATCTAACCACTAGAAGTTTCAACACTATTACAAAAAGAAAAAAGGTAGTGCCAGTCAATTTTGCAAGAAGGAAAGGAGAAGCAACTACAGAGAACTGGAATGAAAACTTTAAGGGACCATAACTACAGTGATATAATTGGAACCGTGGCCTAGAGTGCTTTGCTGTTGTACTGTTCAAAAAGCCAGGGAGTTTGGGATTAGTGCAGGAAACCCAAGTTCAACTTCCTGAACCCTTAAAGTTTTGCTTAGTGATATTAGAGAAGTCACTACTATATTCAGACTTACATAACTAACAGTACTCTTGTCAGGCTAAAATCAAATGAGTTCCAAGTACATAAATGCTCTCTCTCGCTCTCTCTAGGGCATGAATTCAGCCTAATTGCCAAGACTATGCAATTAATGTTTTGTAGCTGAGCAGACAGGAGAGTAGGACAAAACCATTTCTGAATTTTACGTATTTCCTAATCCCGTTAGATTCACTTAACGCTGCCCAAATCCCAGTCAATGTAGACATATGCCACATACTGCATATGTTTACTCAAAGTGATCTTTTAACTATGCATCACAACACAGAATGAACAGTACCTTATCTCCAGCAATTAAAAACTAATATTGTGATGTCTAGTCACCATGCTAAGCCATTATGTTGCTCTGTCCTGTTCACTGCAAGCTTTGTTTGAAGGTCAGTCAAGGGGTAAATCCCTGCAGTGTCAACTAGGCTCTGCCCAAGCTTAGAATGAGGTCAGAATGCCTTCTGTCTTCAATTCTCAATCCTTGCTTACATGATGGTGCAGAGTAATGAGACTAGAAATTAAAACACTACGTCTCATTTCCCAAACAACTGGTAAGCAAGTTACTCTTTTTCTTTTCAAAATCCAAATCACCGCAAAGTTATTTAATCATTTTAACATAGGCATGCCTCCCACTTCCAGATAAAGACTCCCCCCACTTGTTAGAACCACAAGTTAATAAAATACATGTTTCTAAAGAGAGTCAGTGTGCTCCATAAAGCTTAAGTGTATACTGTATATAAGTGCGTGTACAGTTTTCAACAAGATTGCCTATCGGCGTGGGGATTGTAAACAAAGGGAAAGCAGATGACACTGAAGACAATGAACACAAAATATTCTGTCCAGATTAAAAGCTTGTTAAGAAAGATGTGCATAGCCTAAATGGCTACATTTAACCAAATTTGTGTAATCTCATTCATATCCTCCAACACTTATATATTCCTTAAAATCCTACTTCTAGGATGTTGAAAGTGCCTTTTTGGTACATTTATCTTGCCAAACTCCATAGCTGCTGCTTTTTTCCTTTCTTTTTAAACATACTAACTACCTTAATGTCATCATGACAATTGGTAATTAACAAGTCCATTTTACAAAGTATTTTGCAATGAAGTATATTATAATTATGTTTGAAAAATAAGGGTGTTAACCACTTCCCCCCCAAAAAACGCTAGTTGAGAGACCAAAGGTAAATCCCAGATCTGCAAAAGGAGGAAGATGTTATAGTGACTCAAAAGGTCACATATCTTGTTTTATAGCCATGAATCATATTATGCAGAAATGTGCAGAAAAGCAGGAATCATTTCACATATTAATGACGTACGGACAGACTTCTCCACTTTACAACTTCTCTTAGGAAGAAAATAATTTGTTATTTGACGGTGTTAAAAATAGTGAGATACAACGTCCATTTTTGAATTAACCCTTTATAATTTGAAATGTTTGGTTTTTCAAGCAAAGTTTTCAGAAAAAAAGTTTATCTATAATCTTCGAGGTGAAGAAAATACAGAGAGTAAATCAGAGGTAATCATACTTCTACATAGCAAGGCAACTCCCCTATGAGGAAAGGTTTACAACATCTGAGTTTACTCTAATGAAGACAATATGAAGATTCATTGGGCAATACACATTGGTCAAGTGCCCTTTGTTGTCTCAGGTATGGCATTTGATCAGGGTAACCAATGTAGTGTCCTCTAGATGTCTTGGACTACACTTCCCATTGGCCATGCTGTTAGGGTTGTTCAGAGTTGTAATCCAAAACATCTATAGAGCACCTTGTTGGCTACTCCTAGCTTAGATGCTCAATACTGTATACAAAAAAGAGGTTTTGTTGTGTTTTAATATTTCAGTTACAAGGTGTCAGCCCACACAAATCATAACACAGTTCAGCTGAAAGGAGAATAGTTCCATTCACAATCTGTGTCCTGACCTAAGCCCAATGAACCTACATTCATTGTACACACTCTTCCAGATAATGGCTGATAATGGCCACAAAACCAGGAATGCCAATAGTGGTTGTTTGCTCTGCTGTGTGTTTTGTATGAGAAAACTCACGCCCTGCTGCAACTTTGTAACCAAGGCTATGCACAGGAAACTGAAGCAATTTCATACTCTCCCCTGTTTAGCCCTGCCTTTACTTCCCCCTTCCTCCGCTTCCCCTGTGTCAACTTTTAAACTTTAAGCTATTCAGGACAGGGATCTGTCATCTTGATTTGCGCGAAGCACAATACACACCAACTGCGCTAAATAAATAATTGGTCACAACATAGATTTATTTATTTCCAATATTTATATACCACCTAATGACAAAAGCCCTCTGGGTGGTTTACAAATAAAATTTTAAAACATGAAATACAATATGAAAATAAAATCTAACATGGAATAGAACCAGAAAAAGAGAATAGAAAAGGGAGTAAGAAATATTTAAGATGGAAAGGCACCAGGCAGGATTCTCTGATGGTGCCAACACCAAAAAGGCCCTTCCTCTAGTAGCCAACCTCCTTCTGTTTTGTTCACAATCTGTCCTAAATTCATACATGAGACAGCTAGCTAAAGGGAGGTTCACAGGCACAAAACAACTATGCTTAATGTACTGGGTATGGACTTATCTCAGACTAAGTAACAAACTATTAATATGCAAATTTGCATGTAGGGCAGGATCCTATGAGACTTCCTTAGCCCACCATCTGTGCAGCCAAACCCCTCCCAAAAAAAAGCCGCCATCACCAGAGAGGGTCAAGGAATCCTCTGGAACAGTAATGATAGAGGGGCACAGAGGCTGATGCTGGGCTGCCAGAATTCAGAGAAGCTGCTTTGCACAAGAAGTGCCTTTACATTGGTGCAAGACACTGCTGAGTCCAAGCCACAATTAACTGGGGGGGGGGGGATGGAGCCTGAATGTTCATTTTTCCTTCTTCCTCTTCAAAATACTTGGAATTTCTGTAAGCGTTGGATGTTCTGGAACGGGACAATAAATCTCAAGTCAAGGAAGTAGCTGACAAATGAAAACACAGTGTGCTGTATCAAAATTTCAAGGCGGGTTTTAAAACACTTCCCAACACACCCCCAGTCTAAGCAAGGAATTGCGTAATGCAGTACGTGCTGTTTCTGTGGCAACATCAATGATTACTCCCAGGGCAAGGCATGAAAGGAGAAAAGATTTCTCAAAATACTTCCTGTCCTGTGCAAGCAGCATGCATGTCTCAAGTGATCCTAATGAAACCTTTGAAACAAATGACGTATTTATTTATTTTTACAAGCCTTAATTCATCTGCCCTGGTGGTTGGATATAACCCTTTTGAGAATGCACCATCTTACACTTTAAAGGCATGACACACACCCCTCCCCCAAAGGGGGAAAAAACCCCACACACAATTACACACAATTGAAATGTTTCAATTCTCATCTCTTGTTCTGAATCCATTTATGCAACAGGAAGGTTTTCTTCATGAAACTTAAATTAGTATAAATAGGATTTTAACCTCCACCCAACAGGAACTGGTGGGCTAAAAATCTAGCCAATGTCATATTTTTTGACTTGCAATTCAGATTTTTATATTTTTAAACCAGACAGTGGGATCAGCCTAAACAGAATCTGTACCAATACTAAAGGTATCTAGAGGCTTGAAGAATTTAATATATATATATCCAC